GCCATATTGGGCCTGGCAAGACTGGCCTTAAAACAAACAGGAATAAACGGAAGAGCTGCAGTTTCAATTAGTCCTTTTTATATTCATGAGTTTATGATCTACGTGCAGTAAAAATAAGAGATTTTTCTCCAGTTACTTAGAATTCTGAGAGTTTAGGCTGTAATCACTGTAATATAAAGATGACTCTTGAAATTGGTTGAGAAATCTAAACGTTATAGAGCTTTTTATCCAGAAAAACTGCAGCTCCTCCGTTTCCTTGTACTCGTTTACATGGCAGTCTTGCCTGGTCCAACGTTGACATACGACGCAGCGGCCAATGCAACATCTACATATATGTGTCTATACGTCAAGACTATATCATTACATTTCGGATATCGGCCAAGCCACACACACATAATAATAATGAAAAGACTAAATTCATCTACCAGCAGCTAAAGCTGATTTATTTTGACACTTTACTGTGTTTATGCAAAATCTGAAAACTAGAAAATAATGTTTTAAGGCTGCTTTTATCTGGAGCTGTAACACCAACCAATCACCTCTGTGTCTGTGTTGGCACCTTCACCTGCAGGGGTAACAGTCTGTGACCAGTAGTTTTGTTACATCAATGTCATAAAATACCAGATAAAGTATGTGAACAAAGTGAAAATGCATTTAGGCTCTGGGCTATTATGAGATCCTTTATGCTTTGACAAATATAATTAGGGTCAGAGGACAGACAGTCTCAGTGTCAGAGGGTTAGAAACTGGCTTCAGAAATTAAACAGCTTTTTGCAGCAGTCAGTTGAAAGAGCTTTTCAAACCACAGCAAATCCATAACAGGTCATGAACGTCTGAACAAACTCCACATACAAACTGTCCATGATGCCCTTGTTCACTTTTCACTCATGCCTTCATTAGGAGGAGGAGAAGACACAGATTAGAAACCTCTCTGTTGTTTTGATGAAGTCAGCCTTATAAATACAAATGTCTGTGACTCACTGCATGACTTAGTGATAGAGTTACATCATTGTTCAGCCAAATGCCATGTGACCAAGTTATGAAGTTACACCACTGGTCAGCTGGCCGAGTGTTGGAGTTTCCCCATTGGCCGTTGCTCTTTCAAAATGAATTGGCATAGAAACAGTTTGTATTAGAACACTGACACTTCATGTCACTGCTGGGACCAGGTCTGAGTGTCGAAGCTGAAGCATCGAATCTGAGTAAACTGCAGCTCTCTCTTAAACACTGAGGGAAATAAATTACCCTCACTCTTAAAACTGTCATTAACATGCATCTATTTTTAATAGTAAATACTACGACAGTACATAACAAATGAAACAGTGATTTGACTTTTAGTAAAGTGGCTTCAGTCAGATATAACGTACTGAGATGAATCTGAGCAGATACTCCAGTCCACTGATCTACAACTAATGATAATTTTCATAATCAATTAATCTGCCAATTATATTATTAGATTATTATTAAACATGTCCTTCACAGTTCCCTCATCATCAAATGTCTTGTTTTGTCCAAAATCCAAAAATATTCAATTTACAATAAAATTATTTTATGAGAAAAAGGCGATTTTTAAAAAAAAGTTATTTATTTATTTATATATATATATATGTTATGAATGTAGATTAAAATTAAAATTTCACTCAGTCAAATAGTTGATTAATCAGCAGTGCTTCTACTTCATCAGCATGTTTTTTATTGTGTCTACAGTTTTGTTGAAGTTGTTGTAATGACTTCAGTATGAATATATATGTGTGTGTGTGCCTGTCTCTGACCACTGACTTGTCTCTGTGTCTGTCCTCAGGGTTTTACAGCGACCATCCGCTGGAGTCTGAACAGAACGACAGCATGGGTGAGTTCAACATGTTTTACTCTCACAGCTCTGTGTGATTCTTTATTTTTGTAGTTTTCCCTTTTTGCCTGCTGCACTCACTGACTTCCCCACTTTTATGTCAAATGTCAGAAAAAAACACATATCTCCCTCTGCTCAGTTTCAGTTTCTGTGACTGAGTAAAATCACAAGATAACAAGCGCCATCTAGTTGTTAGTGTAGACATTTTGATGAATGACCTCATTTCCTGCCCCATCCACCAGAGGGCAGTGTAGACTCAGTATTAATGGAGTAGGACTTTGGGAGAGATGGAGTGAAGACAACAGAAGAAAACAGCTGCGGATTTGATATTGGAAGAATTTCTCTTTATTCTTTCTTTAGATAGAGAAAGTCTGTTTCAGTGTCTGAGTGTTTTGTGTCTCAGAGTTTGTTTTGTAAATTTAAAGTCTTTCCTTTTCCTCTTTTCCTGCCATCCTTATCAGAAATGTCTCTGCTCAGTGGAGAACACACAAACCTTAAATGTCAGAGATGTGTCTCCAGGCTCAGAGGAAACAGGGAGCAAAGAGCCAGGGGTGATGCAATGGTCCAATGTTAAGGTCCAGGTTCAGGCGAAGTTCATTTGGGACTCCCCTGGCTATCGCAGCGCCAGGTGGCACCATGAACGGGTCAGAGGTCGGACACAGTTCAGAAAGTGCTGACCTCGTTGTGACTCTGCGCTGACCTAATTGTGTGCAGTTCTCCTACGGCCCAGGCTTTCTCATCGCTCCCTTTATAAACCTGCGAGAGAGAGGAAGGGGGATGGGGAGGGGGGGAGGAGGGGAGGGGGGGTCGCTAAGAAGTGGAAAAAAGCCAGAGAGGAACTATTAAACCTGTGCAAACAGTGAAAGGCCGCCATTGTTGCATGCTGCAGGAGGAGGCGTGGATTTATGAGGCTGGGTCTGATTGGGTTGTAAACTTGACGAGGTAGGCTCACGGCCGCAGCCACTCTCTCTCTGTCTGTTGGCCCTATTCTGCTTCCAGGATTCCTCGGTGCATGCATGGGTAAGGGTGACGCCAGGGTCAAGGGGGCTGAGGCAGGGCTCCTCAGGCTTGTAAATGTTCTGACAGGGGTGGGAATTGAGAGACCCCCATTCAGTTTCCAAAAATCTTGGGTCAGGGGCCAAATAGCTGAGTTAGCAACAGCTGTTTTCAACACTTACCCTGCAGATGAAGTTCTACTGTCAATTCACACGTTTCTTCTTCTGAAGATGTTTCCTCTGAAGCTGGATCCTCATGAACCTGCATATGGTGATTTACTGTTCTGTGGTTCTGTGGGTTATAAACCAATCAGAGTGAGGGGCCCTGGACACAGATGTAGATCTCTGAGGTAGATTTCATGAAGCTTGAGCTGCTCACTAATCATCCATTTTTTAAAATCTTTTTTAAAGCTCGTCCTAAACTCTTCAGATCTTTATATTCACTTGTCTTTCAAAGCTTGAATCCTTCATATGAGGATCTGGCTTTTACCCTGTGTGTAGATGTGTTTTGCCCATTGCTCCTCTTTCCTTCAGTCCCACTGCTCAGCTGACCAGTGGCTGCAGCAGAGTGGGTTGTCAGCGAGGTTATCAGGGTCCTTTGGTGACCACCTCTGTTTCGTGGTTAATCATTACCAGCTGGGACATGCAGGGCTTTCTCTGCTCAGCTTTGTCCCAGAGTGCTTCACTGACTGCCTCTACATGCTGGTTGTAATTCAGTCATGTTCACTTCAACCACTATCTCATCTCTAATCATATAAATATAGGTTAAATGATAAATGTTAGATATATTCATCCCATGTGGGATAATCAGTGTGGATGATGTTATCCAGGTAAAACATACTTGGTGCTGATTAAAGGATGCTGTGAGGACAGTTTAATTTCACTGGTTATGAAATTGAACTCTTAAATCACGATATGAGCCACAGGCCTCCTGCAGCACTACACGTCCCCGGCCATGAGGGGGCAATAGAGCCATGACAGACCTCCATGTGATGTATGCTCCCACGTGCCACCTGGACCCAGTGAACTCAACACCCATATGGAACTGCTTGGCTGGAGCCCATTACATGACTTTCCTTTGTCCTCACATAACTGCGCTAACTTCATGTGCCTCTGTCCAAAAGTCATTCAACATCACCAGGTTTTCATTTTCCTATGTGCTGCGCAGCTGAGCAGCATTTACATCCCTCTCTTTGTTCCTCCCTGGTGCTTTTCCTCTTTTAAGTGGATATCACTGAGGGCCTCAGGGCTGTGTTTGACTCAAGTCAACATATAGATAAGCAGATAAAGAATGAAAGGCCAGCAGCAGCCCTTTTTCTTTTACTTGCATTTTCTTCTTTTTTTTTCTTTTAACATGGCGTGAGTGCCACCGAGTGTAGGGAGCTGCTGCTGCTGACCTCTGTGCTTTCTTATCATTTCAGCCTTTTATAATTCATGATTAGCCTAGATTTGATTCACCATGCTTTTTTTTTTCTCTCTCTCTCTGTTGATGCGAGTGGCACTGGCGTTAGACTTGGGGTCAGCCTGCGGAGTGTTTCCAGGTCAGGGAGAAGTGGGTCACACTGTTCCCAGTGTCAGTGCCTATAACTTCACAGTGTGTGATGACAAAGCCCAACTCTACAGGGATAAACAAGCAGACTTTTTTGTGGCCCTGATATGTAGCAAATGGTATCCATCGCACACAGGTCTCTGTAGATATACTGCTTAACTCAGAGCTGCAGCAAAACCTGTCCTGACATTTCACTCAGACGTTCACTTATTTATGTGTAGATTAATTCCTCATTTATTGTATCACAATTTCCCTGAATTTTTAAAAAGCTGTAGACTCAATTTCATAGACTAAAAGAATTCACATTAGACTCTTTTTCCTCTTAAGATTTCAGTCTGTTTGAGCAGCACTCATGGAGAAATATGATTAATTTGCTCTTTATTAAGACATGTAAAAAGGCTGGGGGCGACCTGTGCTGCTTCCCATTATACCTCCGACACTTTTGCCACTGTAAGTAAAAGGTCTGGGTTCTGTTCTGTTCTGTTCTGTCCTGTCCTGTCCTGTCCTGTCCTTTTCTGGTCTATTCTGTCTGGTCTGTTTGGTTCTGGTCTGGTCTGGTCTGGTCTGGTCTGGTCTGTCCTGTTCTCTTCTCTTCTGTTCTCTTCTCTTCTGTTTTCTTCTGTTCTGGATGGAAAACATCAAAGCATTTGAAATTTCCCAGCATGTTAACATAACCTTACAGGGCAATTTTGAGATAATTTCCATACATGTAGATCTCTTCCAATGACACACTGAAATGGGGTTACATGGCTGATTAAGACTTGTGGGCACAGATTGTTTCACTTTCAAAAATATATATATGCTTGAGTGGGTTGATTTGAACTGTTTCTCAGTTTCACCTCTGCTGCATTTTAGTTAGTCTGTGTGACTGTCCTATAATTACGGAAGTCCCAGGTTCAACCCCCCTGGCTGCTTGTCTTTATTTAAACATGTCGTTGACAGAGTTCCTCTGGCTATGGAATTCCTGGAATATCCTGGAGTTTAGAGATGGGCTGCAGGTTGGGGGGTTTGCTTCACATGTGATTTTTTTTTTCTGCAGTAGATGATGTTCAGCCAGAGTGAAATGGAAAACAGATACAACATTAACATTAACAGAACAGAACTCAGGTTTGAGGATATGCAGGCAGTTGTACTCTATCATGGAAAATCTGAGAAAAGTCATGGAATTCAGCTTCTGGGTCACGGTGGTAAGACGTCCCCCCTCACACACAGTCAGATGCTGCATACTGTCAGTCAGAGTAACAGGAAAGTCCAAGCAGATAAAAGTGTGTGGCATTTAATGACAAGTCATGATGTGGTGCTTCACCCAAATCACAAACTGTCTCATTTAGTGGCATCCGTCATGCAGACAGTTATGGTTTTGAGATGTCGTTCGATTTCTGCTTCAGCCCAAATGAAACGAAAATTAATTGAATTTAGTTGCAGTATTTCCATCACAGTTTTACACAAAATAGAAGCAACTTCTTTAGAAAAGGAAAAAAAAAAATCACAGTTGTGAATGTTCTGTGTTTCCATTGAGTGATGTGATGTGAAACTGGCTCCCTGGAGCCTGACACAACAGGAGTCACCACTTCAATGTGAAATATTGCTTTATTGCTTTTTTTTTAATTTAATTTAACTTCCGTTGCTCATTTTTTAACATTAAGCAGGTTAATGGAAACATGCCTATAGACTTGAACCTCTGAGTGAAGAAATAATCCTGATAAAAATTGTCTCTGGATTACTAGAGACACTATTTCTAGAATGAGATATATTGCTGGTCAATATTTGAAAAATAATTTTAATTATATGAAAAATATACATTTTCATATAATATATGAAATTCCATTGAAATATGTGAATATATGAAATCCCATTGATTTCCATGATCTTGGTAGGTAGGCAGATTTTTCTAAACCTGGAGGTGAGTGAGATGTTCTGGATGAACTGACCCTTTTTGAAAGCAGTTTTAAAGCAGCAGTGGAAAACCATCAATGTTGGAAGAAGCTGGTGGCAACTGTAGGACATCCTGCACAGTAGAACAGAGCACAGAGCTTAGAGCTTTAGTTCCTACGTCAAGGTCCGGCTGGTCTCTGAGGTGTTTGAACCGCAGTCTGCATTCATTGATCAGTGAGTTATTCTCATGGAAACCCACCGACAGCAATGAATGTTTATTGCAGCCTTAAAAAGTGAACGGCTGATGGGACATGTCCCACACACATGCCCCTCACCTGCTGGAGAGTCCAGGTTCAATCTGGATCTGGGCGTTTTGCTTTGAATCTGGTCTAGTTTCCAAGCGACCGCTGCATGTTGCGGCGTTCCACAGGGTACAGTCAACGGTCGATGGTTTTGGTCAGAGCTCAAACTCACCGACAGCGTTGAATGTTCACTGTGGGCACCAGAGAGAATCGATAAGTGTGATTGATGGCAGCTTCTTCTTCTGCGTGTCTGTGGAAAATCACACACACACTCGTCTTCTTGTCCTGCACTTCCTGGTTCCCGTCCAAACCACATGATTTAAAGCATCTGCAGTTGAAATCTAAACATGTTGTTTGGTGTGTGAGTGTGCTCTGATGTCAGACCTGTCAGTGTCATACATGTCCACATCCGCTATCAACAGAGGGTTAAAACACTAACTTTACAATGCTAATCATGACCAAGAAAGAGAAGCTAGATGTAGCTGTGTGCTGCGCAAGTGTGTGCTTTTGTTTCTCTTGGCCTGTGCTGAGCAGCTCCATGCCAAGACGTGTTACCACGCGTGTCAGTGTGGAGGTTCAAATGACATTGATGAGAAGCCAGTAGGATCGAGGACACAGGCAATGATGCAAAGGTTTGGCTTTCCTTAAATAGCCCTGCAGATGTGGTGAACGCCATGCTCGCTGTCATCATCATCCTCACCTTCTGCTATCTACCAGCAAAACTCTTGTCTGTCTCTGCCAAGCCGCACTCCTCTCATCTCCAGCCTGCAGCGAGAAGAAGAACAAAAAAGAGTGGGCAAAAATCAGAAATTGCAGCAATACAAGGACAGAAGATGACGTCAGTCTGGCTCATGGAAGGAGGTGAACTGGTGCAAGTGTGATCAGAGAACACCGCCGTGCCCCACAGCTTAAACTAGTGCACTGCAGTGTTGAGCTAGTTAGTGATTACTGTTCCCTTTACCCTGTGCTGAACCTCAGCTCCTGCTCTGGGAGTGCGCCTTCCTGTGTTCGCCTCTTTGAGGTTGGAAAATCATGCAGTCATGTTTTATTAATGCGCTCTCTGTCTGTCTGTCTGTCTGTCTGTCTGTCTTTCTCTCCCCGGTTTTCCTGCTTCCCTCCACACAGAAGAAGAGATTTGGAGCACTGTATTTTGTTTGTTCTGCATCTCCTTTTCATGTCGAATTCTGGTGTTTTATATAGGTTGTGGGGGGATTGATTTGAAGAGGTACTGAAACCTGTTAGGGAGGCAGTGAGTGCATGATGCAGCTCATTGTAGACAGATTTGTTGCAGTTCTGTGGGATTGTGTTCTGTTGGCTCAGTCAGAACCAGAGAATCAGAGAAGTGGATGTCTTGTCTCCACGCTGCAGGCTCTGAGAGGGAAGCCACACGCTCCTGGTCTCTACTTAATGAATGATCACTTTGGGAAGAGAGAGAGGCACAGTTCACTTTCTGCTGGCCTGACACAGTTCAGTGACCATCATCACCACAACACAACACCAGAACGACTCTCAGTTTCACCAGCATCAAGGTTCCCATGATCGGGTGCAACCTTAAATAAGCAGCTAAATAAATGCTAAAAGCTAAGCTACATAGTTCTGCGGCCTGATATTGTTCTTTCCTCTTCTCTGATAGGCTCCTTCTAGCTTGATGCGCATTTCTTTTCTTTTCAAAGAATATATTCTCCCACACTTTCCTGGTGTCTCTGTATTTCCACTCTCAGACAAGGTGGGAAGCAATAGTTTTTTCAGCCCCTCTGGCTCAGGCTTCAGTGGCTTCCCTCCTTGGCACTTTCACAGTTTGGCTGCACGCCCGAGACTCACAGAGCCTTTTTTTCATTCTCAAATATCTGTCTGTCTCCTCCCCCCTCTCTTTCTTTTCTTTTTCTTTTTTTTTTATCCGACTTGACTTCCACTCTCTTCCACTCTCTTGGGAGAACTTATGGGAAATGTGTGTTAACACGGCGCATGCTGACTTATTATTCATCACTCTTAGGTGTGGCTTCACTTATGCACCGGGGTGCTTGATAGCGCCACTGCTGGCGTGGTCCCCGGGAACTTTGCATAACTGACAAATTTTGCAAAAGTATAGCGTGTAAAAATAGCTGGGCGAGCATGAGAGCCTGACGGGGCCAGAGTGAAGAGTGCAACAGTGTGACTGAACCAGCGTGAACCCTGCGTCGTCAGCACATTCCAGGGGTTGGACAATGAGAAGCACACAGTGTACTCTCCGTCGGATTGCCTGCATTGCTGGCTGGTCTGCAGCCAGGACTCCGTGCTGCCTGAAACAAGGCCACCGCAACACAGATGCACAGAAATCTGCTAAATGAGCTCAAATCTCGGAGTTGGTGCATCACACGTCAGTTATGTTGGGACAGGAAACAGCATTTAACCTGTGAAATTGTCAGTTTAAGGCCAGGGTTTCTCTTTGGATAGGACCAAGCCTGTAAAAGGTTAAAGGATATAAACGCTAAAATGTGAAGACTTGGTTCATGTGGGTGTCTATTCTCAGACCAGAACCCCCAGGGGAATTCAGTCTGCGCACCAGAAACAAGAAGTCAGTGTTGAAGGCACTGTTTCTCTCTGTTAGAGCTGAGGTCACAGTAAAATCTAAAGAATCAGCCAGGAAGTGAAAATGTTGAGTCAGGAACTGATCCACGGGTCCTGGACTGGAAGCACCCAGACCTCCACACCCTGACATTCCACCGGACCGTCAAAGTGTAAAACCACCTACTGTTTCCCGCTTCATGGGAACATGTGTTTGATTCACTCTTCACTTCACAGGCCACAATGAGATCAACATGATGAAGAAAAACATAGCACATCTTTCCCGCCACTGGACATTCAAAACAACTGTACCACAGCTAACCTGACACCCCCGACATAGCTCCCATGCCTGTTCAAAAATACTCAGCCTGGGGGGCTTCCAGCATTCACTCTCACACCCTTTCCCATCATTCCTCTTGAAATAATAATTATTTTCATTATTATTCTCCAATCAGCCGGTAGTGTGAGCCATCTCCTAATGAAAGTGAACAGGAAGATTAAATCGCGCCACAGAGCGATCCAGTCAAATTCAACAAATACATCTTAATTACTGTGTCGGTCACAAAACAGGCTTCAAGTCAGACCGGACATTTTAATATCTGCAGGAATTAAGAAGTTTATAATGAGATTTAATATGCAGCCAGGTTGTGCTGCATCATATTTAGCTGTCCAGCTGCTGCGGTGTTGTCACATGTTAGTAAAGTGGAAAGATAATCAATAAATAAATTAGAGTTAGATAAATAGGGCAGTATTATTATGATGTGATTGATTATAGGTTGAATTTAATATTGCGATACAGTTCAGCCCACATATCATGATATATGATATTATCACTATTTTCAATATTATTATATATCATATCTGCATATTGGTCTGTTCTAGTTTCACATGTAAAACCCCATGAACCCAGTTACAGAGAGCGAAACCAGCAAATTCTTTTGGCTTTTTTTTTTTTTTTGCCTTGATTTGACAGTGAAAGTCGGACAAAGAGGAATTATGGGTAGGAAAAGGGGCTAACACGTGACAAAGGTCACTCGATTCTATCTGGGTTATAATAAAGGTCTTAAAATGCTGGATTCCCCTTTTAAAGATACTGAATAGTGGCACAGAGCAGCTGAACCCTGCCCTGTTAGAACCATTGCAGTATTTGCATGGCCTCTCCTGGTCTGACGAGCCCCTCAGACCGGGTACAGGCAGCAGTGTCCAGGCAAGCATGGGGACTCCTTCAGGCTAAGTGCCAAACCTTCCCAGAGACTCCCAGCCTCCATGTGCCACAGATCTTCCTGCCAAGGCTCCAGGGGTTTCATTAGCAACTTTAACAGTGAAGCCAGCGCCATCTCTGCTGCCAGGTCCTGTCTCAGCATTAACCACCACTCTCTCCTGATAGTGACGAACTGTTTCTCCAACACGCTGCTGCTGGTGACTTACCTTTTCCCTTCGTCTCCTTCTGGCAGCAGCCCCTCTCCTCCTCTGGTGTCTCTGTGTCTGCTGTGCACCTTTGAACTCGGCGTTGATTGACTTGATCACGTCACATCAGTCTGGCTGTGGTTGACTTATCTGTCCCTGCAGCAATGCCTGAGAGGCTGCGTGCTGCATGTCGCACTCTCCTCACTTCTCCAAAGCTTTGTCGGCTCATTTCAGTCCTGAGTGCTGAGGCTGATGAATATGTATCCTGGGCTCTTCTCGCAGCAGTTTGAGGCTCTCCAACAAAGTGGGATGAGAGAGCCCTTTGTGCTTGTCTTCTGGATTTAACCGTGACATTTCTCTGGAGCCTGCTGCCACTTTTTATCTTCAACAGACTTTATCCCTGGGTCAGACTTGCAGCCTTTTTGAACACCAGAATCCTCGCTGCAGCTCTCATATTTCATTTTTCAGGTTTGAATGTCGGGGCCTTAATTGAGTCATTAAAGCAGAAATATCTTTAAAACACAGACAACATGTATCATGAAGGAAACCCAAACACAAGCTGAACAATGCTTCACTTATAGTAATAAACCATGATGATGATGATGATGATGATGATGATGATGACGATGATGATAATGATTATCATCATCATTATCATCCAGCCCCCCGCCTTGCAGAGCCGAGCCACTGAGCAGGGAGGCAGAAGAGCGAACGTCACAGGCACCAGTTCAGATTCCACATTTCCTTTATCAGTGGGAGCCAGGGGGCGAGCGGCATGGGAATGACCTGGATACTGAATGACTGTCACTCCCCCCCACATGCTGCCTGTGCCACTTTACACCCAGACAGACCTGGTTCGCCTGAGTCATGGTGCTGATGCATTTAGCAAGATATAACGGAGCAGAGAGAGGAGGAGAAATAATCCTTCAGCTCACACACAGAAGACAAAGGTAGAAAATCTTTCCATTTGTCTTGTGTGATGCCTCCATCTTTAAAATCACAGCCTGACACTGACATTGTTAGCAGCTCATTGCAGCTGGTAGACTCAACAAGGCCGCTGTGACATTTTACTCCCGTGCAGCCAAACACTCATGACAAACACCACAAAGCTTCCTGCCCTGTCACAGCAGGGGAACGAGAGCTGTGTTGCACCAGCGGGGACACTGTGTCCTTAATGCGCTGTGCTGCGCTTTGTGCTCTGTTGACCTGATCAGCTCCACCTAAGCCAAAGTTAATCTCATCTTTTTTGTCCTGTATTTATGAAAGACAGACAACCATGGGTGAAACACGGCGAGCTCATGTGTGTGACATTTCTACAGATGCAGGAATACCCGACTGTGAACGGCAGAGCGACACTGCGGCAGAAGTCGGAGGACGTTGCGGCATTCATGAATGGGCTGATCCTCTGCAGCACTTTGACGACTGTGCAGCAGAGTTTGTTGAGGCCAGTGCTTTAGAGAGTTGCTCAGAGACTTAACCCTCCTCCCAGTACCTTCCTCTTCTCCAGCAGAGGAAAATCTCTGCTGAATTCATGTCTCCTTTCAGAATTCTAAGAGGCGTTAAACCTTTCTGGATTAAAGAAGGTAATCTGACAGGCAGAAGATTGTATTAGCTGAAATGTTGGCAGAGCTTTTAATTTCTCCTCTCTTTTCATCCCCTCCCCCCTCAGCCTACCTCTCCTGCTGACCTGCTGGATGGTATTATTGTGTTTTTCTTTTGAATTACAGCAAAAACATCGACATCTTCCCCACTATTCACTCGCTCTCTATCCCACTCTTTCCATATCTCTCTCTCTTTCTCTCTATCTATCTATCTATCTATCTATCTATCTATCCATCTATCTATCTGGCTCTTCCAGCAGTGGCAGCATACTTGTGAACCCATGATTTATCATTTGCTAATCCGTGCTGATTATGGAGCTTTCCACATGGCCCTTATCTGTTGCTGAGCCTGCTTTTCACTCCATAGCTGCCAATTATCTTTCAGGCAGCCTGCAAACAGACCTGTCTCTGTCAGCCAGCTGCCGAGCTGCTGCCACCATCGCCACTGAGGCCTCTCATGCTTCATACACCAGCGTGCACACACATGGTGCCTGGGTATGTGTGTATTTATGTGTATTTATTGTCCAAGTGAAAAGTCAGATATCCAGATTACACTGGGCATTGAACCTGTGGTGTATCACCTGCAGAGGGCAGGGACGGCACAGAGGAAGCAGCCTGTCCATCGTGGATACTGTCATGGTGTCACTTCAATTCAGAGAGACGACAGCAGCTGATATTAAACCCCCATCCGAGTCGTGGTGGTGGCAGATGATGCAGAGAAATCTTAAAGCTGTTAATCTGAATATTTGTGCTGGACGGCAGAGCTGATGCTAATTTAGTTACACGCTAAAAATAAAGCTGAGGATGCTCCGTCACCAGCTCTCTCTTACTGCACTCAACACTCTGAAGCTCAGATATTAGTAGTTTAGCGTCAAGGTCAACGGTCTGCTGGCGTGCCAGATCTACCACCCACATAGTCAGAGATGCCTCACTGTTACTCATCCAACACTTCCCGTAGCCGGGCAACGGGACGGCCAAGGTTGGCTAGGGAGGTTAGGGGGGGAACGAGGTCTCGCCTGTGGGGAGGGTATATGCAGATCGTGGTCCGCTCAGCTGATGTGGCATCCAATTGTCAGCATAATGGGAAGTGACGTGCACATCAGAGCAATGTGGGTCAAAGCCCCAGACGACCAGCCCGCGGCCTGTATCTGCTCCGCCTGTCTAATCTGCTGTGGCCGAGCAGACGAGGCTCTCTAATCGACCCTGATATTCACTGAGCACACATCAGCATCACGCACGCACGCACGCACTGAGCAAGGCGAGCTCTCTCTGAGATGTTTAAGAGATTCAGATGAGGCAAGCATCAGAGGAGAGAACACAGTCCTCTGGTTGACTCGTTAGTTAAATGTAAAGGGTGCAGCCCCCCCCCCGTTTGAGTCAAACATGGCAGCAAACTGACAAACTACAGCTCACTCCTCGTCCTTTCTATATTTCCTCTGGGGAAATGTTTCTGCAGGAGTCTGAGCATAAAGCCACTCTGTGGTTTCCTGCAACATGGACTGAGCTGTTTTTTTGAGTCGGACAGACGCAGCACTTAATAGGATTCCCATGACATGGTGAGGGGCTGGCATATGAAGGGAGGAAGAGGACGGGAGGGAAAGGTTGGGGAGGGGGCAGCAGACAGCGGTGGTGAAAAAAAAAACAAAAAAAAAACAACTTTTCCAAGTGTTTGCTTAGCACCTGTGTACAGACCTAACAACTCCATCATAGCTGGAGGGAAGTGACACACGGGGGCCTTGAAGTGTTTTGACATTTTCTGCTCAAACAGGTTTTTTATGGTGGCGGGGGGGGGGGGGGGGCTCAGCCTGTGCAAATCTGCCTCATCAAAGGCAGTAATTTCCTGTTCATTTCAGGCCACCATCCCCCAACCCACAGCTCTTGTCTGCTAATCCCACCCCTGCAAACTGCCCCCACTCCCCTGTCCTCCCTCCAATCCCCACCCCGGCCCCCCCTGCTGGTGTCCTGCCTGCCTGTGCTTCAGAGTGCTACACTCCAGGGCTTGGGACTGGGAGGCTATATGCTTTGTGTCAGCAGGCCTGTGGCTGAGCACTAACAAATCCTCATTGTCCCAAACGGGAGGGGTGACAGAGGGGGGGAGGGGGCATCACTGTCTGGTTTCTATTCAAATCCAGGTGCACACAGGCCTAGGAGGGTGCAAGGGGTGCAGCGGGGTTTACACAGCTCCAAGCCTGGGACCAAAGTCCATCTAGACCTGAGCTCAGGCCAGACGGGGTGGGGGTGGGGGGGTACAGGAATCACTTTCACAACCGCTGCCTTCTGTGAAGCGATCAGATGATACGATCTGATCAACAAGTGATACGAGCTTCCCAAAATCAAACCCCTCACATTTCAGCTCCACAGAGTCCCAGTGTTATCGCTCTGTCAACACAGGACTTTGACTTCCTGTCACAACTGTCACTGTTTTTTGGCGAACAGTTTTTTTTTCTCCTGGAGATAGAGCAGGGGTGCAGCAGCATGGGGGGTGGGGGGGGCGACCTGTGTCATAGCAGCCTCGTGTTCAGGTCTGGGGTTATGGAGTGTAAGACTCCAGTCGCCAGTCACTGTGTCTGAGATGTGTATCTGCAACAAGAATCTACATGTAGAGGCATTTCACACTGAGTTGTACTCTGTGTGTGAGAGCACACACACACACACACACACACACACACACACACACACACACACACACACACACACTGAGTTTCAACCTGTACCATTGTTTTTTAGTGACAGAGAGTGAGGACAGTTGTTTTGCAGCAGTTCTCAAGATATCATCCAGACTTGAGGTGTGTGTGTGTTGTTTGTTTATCATGTTGTTAAGCCTTTGTGCTGTCTGTGAATGTGTTTTTCTAAAGTGTGTGTGGTGGTGGTGGTGGGGGGACTACAGCAGCAGCAGCAGAACCATCTGTGATAAGGGGCAATGTTTTTCTCTGTTGTTGCTACTCACTCACACACTCACACAATCACACACTCAGCTTTTTGCAGTGGATTAAGAGCTTTGGACAAAAGCAGACTGGGGCAAAAAAAATACAGGGACGGCCAGCATTTCCTGTCAATAAATACATTCCAAACCCAGTGACACCCCCCCCCCCCCACACACACACACACACACATGCACAACCACCCACCCCCACCCCACCCCATGCAAGGCGGGGAAAACCAATAGAAAAGGGAATAGAAAAAAATCAACCTCTGAAAATTACAGTCTTCCTCTTTTGTCCATATTTAACCACCTCCTATGTTTACACTTCTGCTGCATTTTCCTTCAGCTCAGTAGTTTCTGTGAACTCATCAGCTTTCTCTATTTCTCATTTGCCGCTTTATTAAAAAAAAGGCACATGATAAAATTAGTGTGCTGCAGCTGAAAGATTTTCACAAATGATGCAAGAGGAATTATTTTTAGCTCCTTCAGCTGCATCTCAACTGCCAGATTTTTTTTTTTGCAGAAGGTTCTCACAGAGGGCGAGGTGCAAGATGAAGCATGGTCACCCCTAACCCCAACCGCACTCGAACTCCTGTCCTAACGCTGAAGGCGGGATGTCCCCCCCCTCGTGGAGCGGAGCAGCAGCTGGCTGACCTGTCCCTCCGCTGCCTGCCTCTAATGGCTGACCTGCCCTGTCTGGACGGCCCTGCTCGCTTTTGTCTACTGTCTGGCTCAGTTCCTCCCAGTTAAACATAGCTACTGGCTACCACAGTCTACACATCCACAGAGCAAGCTTTAGAAAACACACACGCACACACATACATACACACACACACACACACACACACACACACACACACACACACACACACACACACTTTTCACACTTGGCACACTTTGTCCGGCGCACACAATCGCTCTGTCTCTCTCGCGCATACATCCTTTTCAAAACTCTCCCACACACAGAGCCTGTGTCTACACACACACACACACACACACACACACACACACTCACACACACACGCACACACACACACACACACACACACACACACACATACACAGTCTTAGACTGTACCATGCACACATCATGAACTAATGTGAGTGTTTTTGTAAAAAAGATTTTTTAGGAATATTTGTCAGAACAGTTACTGCTCAGTTTGAATGAGTCATGCTGTGGTGTAAAATCAAAATGAGTAGAAAAGTGGAGAAGGGAAGTGAAGTTGGAAATGAACTGACCAAGGGAAGGACGAACACTTCAAATACTCACCATCAGCTCGGCTCAAAATCAAACACTCCGGCAGCGTGGAAAAGAAAATCAAAGATGATAGAGCGAAAAGCTTCCAGGAGAAACCTCATGTCGACAGGCTGAAAAGTTGCTGCAGAAATGGGTTGAACGGGTTCCTCTCTCTGTGTCTCCCAGACACACACACGCATGCACGCGCGCACAGACACACTCTTTCAGTCTGATCTCCCTGCCTCTAGTGGGAACTCAGCCAGTAGTTTGCAAATACAAGTGCCTTACAAATCTCTCTTTCTCTTTCTCTCCCTCGCCCTCCCTCCCCTCTCTCTCACTCTCTCCTTCCGTGCTCCTACATAGATAAACAAGCACACGCATTCCCACATGCATGTAGACACCCCCTCCCACGCACACACACACACACACACACACACACACACACACACACACACACACACACACACACACACACACACACACACAGAGACAGAGCCTGGCAACGACGCAAGTTATTGAACTGCTCCACATTTTTCTGCATGCACTATATATGAGGCAGTTAATAGACAGCAACACATCGAGTCATGTGTGGAGCAGGGGCTGCTGTGATTGGCTGGAGGCCCGGGAGAGGGGAGGGCGGGGGGCTGCTTTCGATTGGTCTGCTCTCAGACCATTGAAAGGAGAAGGCTTCTCTATTGAATGGCTGCTGCTATGGGTGGAGTCAGAGTGACAAAAAAAAACAACATCCTGAGAGTTTAGTGTCTTCAGTGACTTTCAACTGCTGTGACTGGACAGTGGAAGTTTTGTTTGTTTGTTTGTGTATCTATCTAATTTACACAGCACCAAAAACAGGAAATATTCACTTGTGCTGGTTGGTTAATTTCAGTGTTAATTTCAATCTCAGTGTTAGCGTGACACTGGTCCCAGTGACCTCATCACCAACATGATGTACTGTCATGAAGCTAAACTTAGTGTCCTAACAGGTCTTGTGTGTGTGTGTGTGTGTGTTTGTGTGTGTGTGTGTGTGTGATGGCAGAGCAAGGCCTGGAACGCTGCCAAATGCTTTCATTCACACCTGATTATATCAGTGTGACCTGGATAACAGGCGGCGCTCCACACATGACGACATGCTGCCAAACAAGCCTTTTCTTTGTCCCTTACAGAGGAAGTGCTCTAGCACACAGCCACCTCCCAGTCAGACTTACAGCACACACCTGGGGGATGTCACTTCCCTCATCATCTGAAGAGGTCTTATGTCACCTGAGATGAAATCAATCAGACTCAGGCTTCATGTACTTGAAGCTTCATTTGTCTGTTTCTATCTAAACTTTTCTCTGACTACATGAGCAGCTGCTGATCAGCTGGCTTCTCCATGTCATGTAGCTACTGTCATATTTATAGTTATTCATGTTTACTGTGCAGATATTAAATCATAATGCTGGTGAGAAATATTTAAAGAAGCTGTCAGTCTCAGATATGAGGTTCATTTACTGCTGTGTGTCAGTGCAGGTCGATACACCATCAAAAACAACACAATACACTCTCTACAGCTCTCTAATTTAACTGTAAGTCAACACTTTTTCGAATAATCAGTTGGGTGTATTTTTTATTAAAACCACAGAAGCAAGAAGTCATTTAGTACAAAGCTTGAGTTTGTAAGTGTCAGGTTTTAGTTTCTAACCACATCGCTTTTGTTATGTTAGAAAGTGTTAGAAATGCTGCTGAACCCATTTCAGTTTGAAAACTGCTGGGTTGTTTTAGTCTGGAAGGATAAAAACTGAGATCTTAGGAAACATTAGGTTCCATTAGGGCTGCACGATATGCAAAAAAAAAATCACTCAATCAAAATCTTGTGATTATTTTTTTAGATATTGTAATTTCAGTGTGAATGACTGTTTTTTCATTTTCACTGAAAAAAAATAAAAATGATATCATGAGGAGAAAACGCAGCTTATTCACATAACATCTCTGAATAGAAACACATTCACAAACTGTTTGTTGATTTTTCCTTAAAAAAATTGCTTCTATTTTGCGCAAAACTGTGATGGAAACTGGACAACTGATGCAGACACCCACGGTTTCTCTTGATTGGCTCTCATCAGCCTGGACTACCAGTGGTGAATACAACATGATAATGAATTACAGTGTCACTGACCTTGTTGTCTTTGCTAGCAGCTGTTGTTCACTTACATTCTGTATTTTAATGCTACAACTGTCTTTGCTGTTCCTCCTTCAGAGGATTTACTGTAACTAACCAACTGCAGAGGAGACAATCTGCTTCCTGTTTACACTGGCTCGAACACGCCCAGTGTAGGTGGATGGTCATGTGACATGTTTTCAAGTGAGTTAGTCTGGATGCAGATGGTGTCAGTTTCAGTGTGGATACAGACTTGGGGTTTCTTTTCTCCACCAGGATATTTAACATGTTGTGATGGTTTATTATTGTGTTCCCCAAATTAAAGAAAAGGCCACTCTCCATGAATATTTCATGACTATATCTAGATTTTTAATATGTAGCATTTAGCACTTAGCGAACAAATGTGAAGATAATGCAGCAAAAAGTTGTTGTAAGCTAGGTAGCTAGGTGTATTTTTAACTTTGTGATGGCTAACAGGCTAGCAGTTTACCCACGTTTCCAGTCTTTGTGCTAAGCTAAGCTAAGCTAAATACTTCCTGGACCTATTGATCTTCTCACTGATTCTGCTGTAAAAAAAAAACAGTTTCCAGAAACCTGCTCTTTTTTTTTCTTTCCCTGGCTGTTTGGCTCATGTTGCACCTCCTCCCCTTAAAGGCCAACACCATGTCTTCACATTAGCATGTTGCTGTGGATGGAATGCAGCGTCGTGGGTAAGGGACAGGCTAATTATCGTGGCGGGCCTCTCTCTGAAACACCTCTTTGTTGTGCTAATGTGCTCTCTGTGATACCATCTCCATCCATAACCTACTCCATATGTGCAGATAACTTGGGGGGTGGAGGGGGTGGGGGTGGAGTGGTGTATGTAGGGCGCTCAGAGGAGGGTGTGTGGGGTGGGGTTGCAGCATGTCCTGCAGCTGTGCCTACGATGACAGGCCTGTCCTCGGCCTGCCTTCCGCCAGACTAAACACAAGACGCAGCTTCACCTGTGGGCCTGCCCCCCCTCCAGTTCAATCCCACTCGCCCTGTGACTTTGGCGAGGATGCTCCATGGTGTCGGGGTCTCTCTTCGCTGCATGCTGTAGTTAAAGCTGCGACGGCACCCTTGTACAGTACAGTTTGATGGGAACGTTTGCTGCTCACCGATGTGAACTCGACTGACTCAGTTCACTGAAGCAGGTTTCTGTGCCCGTAGCAGTTCTGAGGGAGTCACGCTTGATCTCTCTGGGCCACATGGAAACTAGGTCATTGTGCTGCACTGTCAGACGTGTTTCTCTCTCTCACTCTGTGTGTGTGTGTGTGTGTGTGTGTCTGTGTGTGTAGAATAAAACTGTAAAATAGGGCTTTTACATAAGGATAGGATGGTTCCACTGCACAGTATTGCTGTTGCGGAGATTCTCTCAAACTGCAGTACAACCAATCCCCCAGCTGCCCCCACCCATCACCCCCGCGACGCCACACTGGTAGAGAGTGAGTTAAAAGGAAACAGAGAGAGAGAGATGAAATTCTCATCCTTGGTTCAGATCCCTAAGAACGCTTGGGAAAGCAGGATCTTATTATCACAGCAAATTTGCAATGTGCAGAGTGGAGGAGATTAGATGCGTCTTGCCTTTGAAGTGTATTTTCCAACCATTGTGCGATGGCAAATTCCATCAAGTGTTGGAGCGAGCCGTGATAAGAGGCACGGGTTATGAATGCTGTGGTATTAAAAGCCGTCATTTGAGCAATAAGATGAAACACTCACAAACTCCTGCTAAATGAAAAACATTTCCCCTCATTTCAGAGCTGTCATTCACAGCTGTGTTTGTGGAAAAGCCACAGATGCTAAAATAAGGTGCAGCGAATGAATATATTAGAATATATGTGAAGTATGGATTATGCTTTATGTTAATGGTGTATGGATCTTTGAATGGGGACTCCCTCTGATTGTTTAGGCCTTTATCGTGTTTGTTCTTCATTCAGCTCAGATGCTGCTTCTCATCTGTAGAAGTAATGATGCAGGATGTTGTTTGCACTTGATTGTTAAAGCAGGAGTGAAACCATCATGAGGAGGATTCAGATTTTTGAGGTGCTGCAGGACTTAGATCAGGACTCCCTGGTGTGTCCTCCTCAGAAGTTTGACCTTTCACTTTGGGCAATGCGGCTTCTTGGGGGTTTTGTGTCAGGACGAGACTGTGGGGTAAATGTGAGGGTGAGTGCAAACGTCAGTGAAGTGACCCCGCTGCTCCCAGTCCCTCCCTTTAGGGTTCCTCAGGGGCTGGGAGAACTGCAGGGTGGAGGACATCACAGGAGTGACATCGTCAGCCTGGGCCTCAGCTCCTGTTGCAGCCTCAGACCAGACATCAGCAGTGCAGAGTTGCTGGAGGTGTCTCAACACACCGGGACACAGACTGCTTCCACAACTGCTCCACTCTGTCTCAGTCTTCTTTGACTTGAAGAACATGGCAGTCTCAATGCTGCTGACTTCTTGTTTGCTTTTTGCAGAAACCAGATTTCTTAAAACATGTGAACCAGGCACCTCCTTTCTATTATCACATTTAAGCTCCTTTTCCACGGGTCAAAAAACCCTCTAAGACCCGTTAACATCAGGCTGTTGTCAGCAATGGAAAAGGAACAATCAACATTCACACCTGGGTCACATGACTCTACAGTAGACACACGTATTAATCGGCTCCGACTCCGATCAGCAGTGATGTAAACACAACACCTGGGTGAACTCGCTAATTTTCACCCCTTTTCCTGCTGTGACAGACAGTGTAACACACCTGTCCACCTGTTAAACCAGAAACACCACAGCTACCCTGAGCTCCAGGATGTGAGCTGCAGCCCTGAAATACGTTTTAAAAACATGCGATCACAGCTACGTCACTCCTTACAGTTGTGTGTCCTCAGTCCGAACAGAAAGACAAACTGGACTGAGAATGGAAAAGAGTCAATCAGCTCTTATTAGAGGATTTACCTGCATTTAAAAAACCTGTTTATAACTGATGATGTAGGTTGTAAAAGGATATCAGGGAAACAGTCAACACAGCTACTGTTAGACTCCAGAATTTCATATCTCCACAATAACTGGACAAAAAGTAACATACATGTAGTACACAGTCAAATAATGGCTACTCTCCTCATTTAATAGTTACTGACTTGTAGCTAT